CAAACGGATTGTACTACTAATAATAAGAATGTATGTAGGACACCCTAATTGTAGTTAAAAGTAATCCAACCGTCTCCTACCAAGCCGCTACATTAGAAGAAAAAGAAGTAAGTACTGCATATGTGTATACATTTCACTGTGCATTGGAAGAATATTGTAGAGTATTCGAAAATGATGATATATTTCTTAATATGTATACATTTGCGATGAAAGTATCGAATGATTCTTCAAGAATTGCAACATCAGGCAGAAAGTCATCGGATGCATAGCTAGTACATGGCCTATTGTTGTTTCTTGTTTTATTTGACCACAATGCAAAATTGTCGACTCAAACCTCTATTGGCATATGAATTGTTTTGGTTTTCCATCATTTTTTCATATGTATAAGAATTTATTACGTGTTGCATTGTCTGCTTGCAGTTTGACCCAAATTCCTTTCATGGCGAAAGAACTGAATGCATAGGCATTTACGTAACTTTCATGAATTTACGTAACGGCATTTACGTAACATTCATAACATGAGTATGAGCCTATTTCTTCTAAACGTTCTCCGCAACCATCTGAGGTCTTCGCTGTCTTCAGCAGCCTTCGAGAGTTTTGCCATTATTTATTAATTAAATAGAATTCCAATAAATTTCTTCGAAAATTTTATATTTGATTTCAAAATATCAAAATAAAGAAATTTATGTTCCTAATATAAGTTTGGTCACTCGTTACTCTTGAATCCAGATAAAAATCTATCAATAATATGCATTTATTTTTAAAGATTTATTGAAATAAGGAAGATATTTACGACATGACCGCTTTTACTTCTCCAATAAGAAATATTTCCTTGTCGAATATGAAATATCATCACACCCTCTCTAAACAAACTGAATATTTAATAACATGCAACAATTCAAAATCGCGTTTTTTTCACTGCATTGCATGTAAACCTATATACATGTACATAACAATATCCGTTTGGAACATATTTAAGTGTTTATAACAATGCATTTCTAAGCGTTTGAAGCTTTCATGGCTATAAAGTTTTTATATAAGGGCAGAAAACAGCCGCGCTCATTTTGAAATCTTATTTATTGAATTAATAACAAAATAAAACTTTGGGATAAAAAAACTGCGAGGAAAAATATCGGAAATCCCTTTATTATGCTTTTAAGCTGAGAGGAAGAAATGAATTTTATTGCTGAGCAAGAAACAAAGAATCATGAAGGGATGGGATTCCGAGTAATATCAAAATAAATCAATATCACTCATAACTCAGTATCCTTATTTCTCTCATCTAGAGCTAAAAAGAGCAGAAAATCGCCTCAAGCTCACTTTTGATAGCAGCAGTCAAGGGGCTGATGACTGAGTAGAGAGATTTGCATTTATTAAACCTTTTCCTGAATTGAATCTGACAGGTTGAAATTCCTCGAAGCAAAATACTGCCTTTCCTTATTAAGAATCGTAATAAGCTCTCACAGTTGAATCCAGTGCGTTGAAATGTAATATAGTTTCTGACGGATATGATAAAAATTCTAATTTCACTAGATGCCTTCGGGAAACCACAATTCATCACAAAATATTTTCCAAGAAGATTTTCGTTGCATACGATACGGAGAAATTAGAATATTTTGCACTTGGGTATGCTTTCTGTTGGTTCTCTAGCCTGAAACTGTCTCTTTAAGAGTGAATATTTTTTATTCCGAGATTTCTACAAGATTATGTAATAGTTAGTCACTTCCATCTCTTCATAAACGCACACGAGTTGTTTACCAGTTTTAAATTTATTGAAAAGTGTTCGAAGGGATAAGAGCGTACAGTGAAACTTTCGATTTGTAATACATATTGAAAGTTGTTAGGCACTTTTACTTCTATTTATTCTTAAAAGCAAATTGGGAAACTGGTAAAATTGAAATCAATTTTCAGATGATTCTGAAAGTTTACTTCAGCTGAAAAGTAAACCTTCAATGCTTTCGAATTTGCAATTTTTCCCCAACAGACTAGATTTTTTCAAGTCAAATTCTATAAATCACCTTTTTATTAACACTCTATATCAGTGGTTGTAAACCTTTTTTACCCCAGAAACACATTTCACTATTGCTAGACCCTCGAAAACTACATGTGCATTTAATTAAAATTAGATTGTTTTAATGTGTTTTTATAAATTAAACAACAAAAATATAGAAAATGCTGACAAATGCCAAATCCTGAAATATATATCATAAATTAAAACTAAACAGTTAAAAAAATGTTGATCTTATCTCCCAGAAGCTATGAAACAGTTGATCGTATCTTCCAGAAGCTCCCGCAAGGGGAAATTATGCTCTTAATTTCTTCAGAGCTTTTGAATCCCTGCGTTACGCTACACTGCTAATGCATTTCATCATTGGTAAAATTATTTTATTGCATTGTAAGTAAGACTCTTTGAATTACCTTTCACGAAATCCGGAAATAGACAATTTGCAGAGCGTTATCATTTTACCAGTTCAATTTTTTTATTTATTAATATAGTTAACTGGCGTGACCTGACGCACGGCTAATATAAAATATTTTAAATTTTTAACAATTAATTATCGCAAAAAATCTTTTACATCAAGTAGCTTTGCTTAAATTATTGAAAATGTATGATATATATGAAAATGAATGACTATATCGTATTTTACTATGGAGAAATGAAATATTCTAGCAGTTTCCAGGGTGTAATTAACTTCAATCAGCAGTAAGTGCCTTTAGATTATTGTATTCTCAAATTAGTTTTGAAGATATTTGGATTTAAAATATGTTAGATTGTACTATTTAATGCAAATAAATTAAATACAAAAAGAAAAAAAAAATTATACAATACTTAGGAATGTTTTGGTTTAGTCAAAAACTGAAACTTTGTTTCTGCTTATTATTAAAATTTTAAATTATTTTCAATCATTTTATTATTACTGTATGTATAAAGTGTTAAGTTGTTAATTAAGTGTTATAATTTATATTATTTATTAAATTAATGTTAACATACCTTTAATTATAACACTCTCAGGATGAGTAGTTTTGGTTTTCAATCCTGTATTTCACTTTCACAGAGCAATTGTAATAGATATCAAAGGGAGGAGCTTCAGTGTCAAAGCACGCTATTCCCTAGGACGACTGGGGATTAGCACACTCAGTAGTCAAATCCTGGTGGTGACGAATTATCATCCACCAACTTTTAGTTCGAGCACCACTTTTGGAATGATTAGGTTCTTTTTTATTTTTCGATGATGGGAAATTGAAGAATTCCGCATTGTCCTTAACGAAATTCAAATTCTAGACCTCTCGAATACGCGTCCACCACAAAGACGTGCAGAAGTGTGAAGGAGGAAATAACCTTATAGCAGGGGTTCTCAACCGGTGGTACGCAAGAGAAAAATAGGTGGTACGCAAAGTATTTTTAACTATTAAATTCAAAAATTAAAACCTGATTGATATTTACCCTCTAACACTCGTAAATTTATGAATTGGCTTTGTTCAAGAATGTGGTCAATGTACTTTGTACTGGGGTCTAAAGGTTTTCAATTTTTGTTTAATTGTACCGTAGTAAATGGTTTAGAACTCTCATGATAATATTAGCTGATTTTTCGCAACGGAAGAATTAAATTATCACATTACCGACTAAGGTTTTTTGGGGGATAACTTAACGAACAAAAATACAATGAATTATTACCAAAAACCTTTTATGATATCCATTCTCCACGCAAGTTTATATACTTAATGCATGAACGTAATGATTTAAAATATATAAATAATTATCAAATTTTTTTGATAAACTCAATTAAATAAATAGTAACACTGTAATTATATAATTATAAAACATATCTATTTTAGTGAGATGTATATAATATATATATAAAATAATAATAAATTCATAGTCAAACACACTTAACTTTCTAACTGTAGTTCTTTTATTTTTAATGCTAGGCTCTTTTGAAGTAAGTGGAATAAAATCAACAGCCCCGTAGTCAGTTGTTTTTCCGCTTTTTCTACAAGTACAGTTATAAATGTTCTGGAAATTTTTTAAGCGACTGGATTGGCTGACGAGGCTGACGTCCTTTCTTGAAGCTGCGCCTTTCCAGGCTTAAAAGGACTCGCAAAAGAATATCGGGGTCTTTTCTGAATGTCACGTGCATAAATCATACAAAAGTATAGTATTCTTTTATTTTACTCCGGAATCTGATTTTAACTGCTATTTCTCCTGAATATAATAATGGATCCTGTTTTTTTAACTATCGTCTGATATTTAAGCACGACTAAAGTGGCACATATAACAGTGTGGACAAAATATGGAAAAACCTTGTGAATGCATGTCTGAAAAGATTGATTTTAATGAAATATGTAGGTGGCACTGGCGTTTTTCACTACTGACGCCCCTATCCCTTTAAATGTGCAAACAGTTCAGTTGTTGTGGAGTACTGTTGTGGTTGTATGCATTATGTCAAGTTAACAGACTGGCGTGGGCAAATTGTTGAGCAATTGGTAGTGCTTCCGTAGCAGGTAGCCGAGTGTTAGTGTTTCAAGAGGTACTGTATCGAAGATTATTTGCATTTGAAAAGGAAAACCTCATCTGCTAAATCACAGCGCGGACGAAAGTGTGTCCTGAGTGTCGTGAAGACGATTCATAGGGCAATGTGACGAAAAATAAGAAGACCACAGCTGCAAAGTTACTGCTGAAATGAATGTTGCTACCGAACCTGTGAGTACCAAACAATTAGAAGGGAGCTTATAAACAGGGAATTGTGGCCGTGCTGCAATGAGAAGCCACTCATCAGTGATGTAAGCCCGTACAGGAAAAAGGGGTGTTAAGGCAAAAGCTGGACTATAGAGCGTGGAAGCGAGTAATAGTTCTGACGAGTCTTCTTTCACATTGTTTCCCTTCTGCGAGTACGTGAGAACGCCATCTCAGCCTTAATAAAGCTGCTTGTTGCCAGAGTGAACATGGCGGGGGGGTTCTTTATGGTTGGGCAGCGATATCGGGGTTCTCTGCTAGCCCCATGATAACTGTGGAGGACATGAATGCCAGACTTATGGAAATTTGGCCGATCAAGTTCAATCCATGGTACAAATTGTTCCCCGATGGTGATGGTGTCTTCAAGAGACAAAGCCCCCTTTCACCACGCCTCACATTGTCAGGTTGGTTTTGAGTACGAGGAGAGTTGTCCCATCTCCCCTGGCCACCACAGTCACAGACTGAATTATCGAGCTTTGTGGTCTAATTGAACGGAAAGTGCGTTCTGTTATCCACCGTCAATCGTTATCTGAATGCCACGTTTGCAGGAAGAATGGTAATATACCTTGGAGAATACGACGGATTTATCATTCTGAGAAGACGCAAGTGTTTTGGATGCAACGGGTTTCTACACCATATTAGCAAAGAAACATGTTTTTTAAAGGTCTTCTATTTTGCCAAACCTGTATATATATATCTATAATGAAGTTAAAAGAAAATTCTAGTGCTTACAATAAGAAGTAGCTAGATACTGTGGTTCCCGGAAATATTTAACATATGTAATAAATGCAATGAAATGTAAATTTAATAATAAATTATCACTGATATTACAATAAATTCAAACTAAGTGCAAGTATATGTGATCAAATTAAGGCAACTTTAACAATAGAATAAGTGTGAAGTAGACAAAATAAAAAACAAAAATGGGTAAATGGTAGATTAGTCAATTCGAATATCATTACTGACTCTTCAGGGGAATTCTAATGATTTCATCGCTAATTCCATATGCGTTCGTCGAAACAGACAAACTTTATAGGATACTCCTTCGAATCTTACTGAAAACTTGTCTAACTTTCAATTTTGCTCAAGTTCAATGCGCAAGTTCTAACCACAAGGTTTCTTTTAGTTTATTATCTTTTCTTTAAAGAGAATATATATATATATATATTCACTCACATTTAGAAATAATAATGTTTATATTTGCTTCTATTGTAGATATTTTGGCTGTTATAGTCATCTTCTTTTTGAACTTTGCCTTAAATTCGAATTGTGAAGAAGGAATAGGAAGTGTTTGTGACGTAGTTATTACTAGATTTTAATATGAATAATTAAATTTCAAAATTTTAGATTATGAATCACCTTTTTCTACGAAACGTGCATTCGAAAGAAAAGATATTCCTAGTCTCCAGTGTACAAATTCAGCATCTTATTTGCAGGTGTCAGAAACTCCAAGTGTTAAAAAAGCTTTAGCTTCCCAACTTGAAAATAATTGTTTTTGAAAATAATTGAATTGTTTAAATACTATATAAGAATGTCAACTAGAAAATGTCAGAATGCTAAATATTGTTTTTTCTTTTCTAGAATTCAAATATTTTTCTGTTGTTTCCTAAAACATCCATACACGTTTTCAGTAATAAAACTTGTTTATGCCAAAAATAAGTAGTTTAATTCTTTTCGTGTTCATTTTACTACTTTTGCTGGTATTCGCAGATGTTAAAATTCAGAGAATTTCTTGGTAGTCCTAAATCTGATAAACTCAGTAGGTAAAATGCGTTGGTATGAAAAATACTTCTTTCACAAAGTAAACATTGAATTACCATTTTCCTGAAACCAGAAAATGATATTATATATAAATCATGTGGTGCAGGATTTAAATTATGTTCGGCATATCTATGAGTAGTTCTATCTATATATAATGATCATATTTATATTATATATCTTATATGAATATATATGATAATTCGGTGTAGCTGATTTGAGGATCCGAACCAAACAACCTGCATAGATACTAATGATGAGGAAACTTAGAAGAAAACTTTCAGTCGTGACCGCTGATTTTAACACATAATTTTATTTTTCTTAGTTGAGCAAAGCCTTGCTGCAGGTAATCAAATTTGCAAAGCATCAATTACGGGAGCGAGATGCATCCCACAATATCGTACGACTCACATTTTCACAACAATAAAGAATAGATAGCACAGGCTGAGGGACACGTTGGCAACAGGAATATGAAGCATCAGAAAAAGGGGTTGCGCAGTAGCCAATAGCGATATTTTGTTTAAAGTTTTCGTTTCTGTTGCTTAAATTTCGAACTTTGTATTAATGGATGATTTGGAAAGTTTGAGCTCTGGTATCCGCAATGCAGAATATTAAGATGACATAATACGGAATTAGTTTTCAGATATGACGCAGTTTAGTTTTAAAGAAGGGGGCACAGCCAAATTCAAATGAGTAGTTGAAAGATTAATACATTTTTTCATTCATATTTCAAGGTTCTTATATATATATAATACACTATGTCTAATATATAAATGACTATTGCGAGATTCTGTTTATGTTACACAATATAATGCAGCCATTAAGATATTAAATATCTTGCAAATTTGTTTACTTTTCTCTGACATTAAAAAATTTCATATTTATTGATAAGATTACAGTTACCTGAAGCAACTGAAGAATACTAATATTTGTTCTTTTGTTTTAAACATATTAAATACTAAACTGTAATAATATTTTGCATTATCTGAAATCCCATGTAATTATTAAAAGCATTCCAATTTTAACATGAAGAAAATAGTAGTATAGAAGTATGAAGATAGCAGTTACAGTCAGCTTCCGGCTAAGTGGAGACGAAGTTCAGGATTACCTTATTAACATAAAAACTACTAAAACCTTACCTGCATTTTCAATCATTTTGATCTGGAATGTAAATACAGTTGATGCCGTAAATTTAATCAATATTGAAAATAAAAGAAGGCATTGTAAATAAAGGAAACATAAGCATCACCAGAAATGAAGCAATTAAATTATAAATGCCATTAAAGAATACTATTACAAAATAACTTGAACAATGTCATTAATTTCAAATTTATCGCCTAGAAAATATCATATAAACCTTTTTTTTTGCTCCATTACAATGTTTTTAAAGCCAGGATTATGTGCAATTAAATTACACATTGCAGTGGATGACATTCACAAATCCCATTCTGGCATATGGCCTGCTATCTTATGTAATGTTTTATTCCTTTCGGTGTTTTCGCGCGAAATTTTTAAAGGTAAAGCTTGATTAATGCGCAACCAGGTTCTTCCCCGCTCCCCTGTTATTTAAGCGTTAGATTGAAATTTTTTTCTCCAAAGTGTGCGCTGAGCATAATTTATTTAAGATGGCATAAAACTCTTCTGGGATAATAGCTTTACATTTTGTAGATGTCTTTAAAATGCGTTTGGTATAGATGGTTCTAGATCGAGCACTTAACTTGTTTCATGTTACCTTCTACTTTATTTATCCGAGAAGCCCATATTGCTGATAAATATCATAAAAATCTAACTTCAGATCTATTTATAAATTCCAAGTATTTTTGGAAACACTGAGGAATTTATGTTTAAAAGACATTATATATTTTTTAAATAATATTATTTTATGCTATTTTTGTAATAAATATTTTAATCATATTTTATGCAAATAAAATTCTTTATACAATAAATGTTTAATAGATATGTTTTCTACAACCATTCCCGCGGTAAAATAAGAATATTAAGAATGTTGAATAATATATTTGTCTAAAATGAAAAATTTGATGACTACCCCAAATTTAAGCAATTGTTCAAAACCTAAACTGAGTAAATAAGCAAGAAATGGTAGTAACAATGCAAAATTAATTAAATTAAATAATAAGTTTAAAATACATTCCATGTTCGACTTAGAATAATCCATAAACTAAAACCAAAGCACAGAAACAGAGTGGCAGACTGCAAGAAAAAGGGAAGAAAACATGCCAAAGCCAAAAATGAAATAAGAAATTTACATCTTTCGCTTCATCGTCATCAGGGAATTGGTACAACAAAACAAGCAAATACCTCAGCCTGCTTCTGAACCAATAAATTAAAAAATCCAATAAATTAAAAGTTTAAGATTAAAAATAATCTCAGAAAAGCAATCAAAGTAATCTGTGCCTTTATCAGTCCAACATCTATAAGCCAAAGCAAGCATTGAAGAAAAATTGCAAAATTATAACATCAAAAACATAAGCAAATTTAAGAAAAGCATAATATTAAGAGGGTGTTCACACATTTTTGTAACGATTTTGCCAATATTTATATAAAAGCAAACTTTAGAATTTTATTTTCTAGTATGTTCAGTCTGAGAGCCTTTTGTTGAACATCTTGATTTCCAAGATAAAAGTCCTTTTCTTAAAACATAAAGGTTCATTTTATTTCACTCCTCTTTCACAGTCTTCCAAAGTCCATTGAATGTTTTAGGATGCTGCTTATAAAGAGCTTGTTTTAAAATCCAAATGCACAGTAATCCATAGGAGACACATAATTGGACTTGTGTGGGATGTATTTAAAGGGAATAGCTTCAACTCCGGTTTCATTTCTCCTTTTTTCAAAAAAATAGAGCAGTAGATTTAGAGGTATGGGTTGGAGCCTTATCCTGATGGAACGTAACACAATGAAGATTCTTTGGATAAAAAGATGGAATTTCTTCTTTAAAAATAGGTGTTAAAACTTATTTCTGATGGTTATCCAAATTAATTTTGACATATTTTTCTACTTTCCCTATTTTAAGTTTTCCGTTATAAAAGAATCCAGTAATAACCATAAAACCTTTAGGCAAACTTTCTTTGTTTTCGCTAAACCAACTTACTAAGCCTTTTTCTTCTGTTTTTTGGTAGTGAATCAATCTTTTTCTATTGTAGTCAGATAAGTATATCCAAGCCTCATCTATTGTAAATTTCCATTTTCACCTGCCAAATAATTTTTATACAGCAATCAGCACATAGTCTTACGCTGAGAAACATGTTTCGGCGTTCCGCAAATGAACATCATGTTTCTTTTTTTTTTTTTTTTTTTTTTTTTTGTTGTTGTTTTGTTAAATTTTAATCAGATCTTATAATTTTTTTAAGAGTTCCTGCAGAGATATTTAAAAATTTTACAATGGTTCTTTGGGGGTTAGATTTTACTTTAAAATACGAGATGCGACTTGCTGTACGTACCTTTGTTGGGTATGCATTTTTTTGGCTTTTTCTCAGTCAGATGTAAACTTTAACGTTTCTTTCCTTTCATATTAATTATGTTGTTTAATTTACGTGTAGAAATACTAAACGCAAATAATTTTTAATAACTGAAAAAAATTATTCCTCTTTGAACAGTGCAAAAATATAGACTTCGATCCATTTTTTAT